ACTACAGTATTAAATTTTTATTTTTTAAGATAATTAAATAATAACTTTGAGAAAATTTTAAATCTTTCTATAAGAAAGAATTTTAGTCATCAAAATGATATCATGCATTACATTAGAATAAGTCTAAAATGTTCCCTACTCATTTACTATTGGAGTTGAGTAAGTGTCACCCTTAAAAAAATTCCTAGATTTCGTGTAAAGTAACTCAAAAATGTATGTAGAAAAAATTAATTATGGCTGAGACCAGGAAATAAATAAAGTAGATGCAAATACACATGTTTTGTAGGCATATTGTATTTATTCTTTCTTTAATGTTACATTCATTAAATATACTGATTAAAACAGTTAATAAGTATGTGTGTGTGTGTGTGTGTGTGTGTGTGTGTGTGTGTAGTTGTGTATGTTCTATTACATGATTAATATGCACTGTTAACTAAGTATGTGGATTTAAGACTAACCTATATGTGTTACGTTAGTCAAACCTTGCTAGATTATTATATGAATTACAGTTGAAAATGCTGCTAACAGCAAGAATACCAAGCTGGTGAATCAATGCTTTCTAATTATTGTAACTTTTAGTTTTATAACTTTGCATAAACCTAGTTAGAATTGTATATTAAATTAGCTATGTTAATCAATGAGCTAATTTTTTAGTTCTGATCTACATAGGTAGCTTGATTAGATCAGAGGTTAACGATCATTAACAATCTAGTACATTTGACAGAAATGAAGAGTAAATATTATCTTATGGTTATTCAACAGAATTGAAATGAAGCTTAAACTTATCAAATTTGTATTGGCAACCCAAAATGCTAGAAAATTTAGAAATTCTTTGACTACAAGAATAAAATTCTTTAACAAGTATTAATCAATTCAGAATTGCATATAATGACTACAAAACTGGTAACCACCAATAAAAGATCAAGAAATTAGACAGTATTGTGTTTTATAGGTTGAAATGTAATTCTAAAATTTTCATGATACTAGATTCAAATTTGTGCTAAATAAAATGGCATACAATTTCCAGCATGACAGGATTGCTTTTGTTTTCAACAGCTAATAAATACTAATAACTTCACTTTTTCTATGTTAAGACACAATATTGTAGTTCAAAGAAAATGGCATGAGTTACACAAGAATAAAATGTTTTTTTAAACTTAGATACATTTTGCTTATCATCTAACCAAATAAACTAGAGAAATACCATAATTCTTAGGTTTAATTTTATCATAATGAAAACAAAACAATCTTACAATCGTTGGAGAAAATAATGTTTGGTAAAACATACAAAAGTAAATGAATATATCTATGTTATTTTATTAAAGTCAAAATATGTTTTATAGATAAAATTTGAGATTGACTTTTTAGAAAACATAAAAGACACGGAATGTTAGATGACAAAAAAAAAGTAGCACAATAAACAGCTTAGATGATAAGAAAGACTTTTATACTACAAACATTTTACAAAGTATGGAAGAACCTATCAAGTTATACACATTTGAGACAGTAAGATTTTGACAAGAGGTAAGCAGTCAAAACAGTAAGATTTTGTTATGCTATAAATAATCATGACAGTAAAATTTTGTCACGCTATAAAAGCTGCAATAGAAATATGTTTTTGCTATACACAGTTAAGATGGTATGACTATCAGTCTATAAAATTGCAGCAGAAAGATTTTATCAAGCTGTGAAAAGCTGAGGCAGCATTTAAGACTTTTAAAATACATTTCTTCCATGAAGAAACTGGAAGAATTCAGGTTTCAAATGACTACAGCAGGAATAATCACTTAGTTTTATCAATAGCAAGAAGATAACACTCACTCACCTAACATACGGTTCATTGTCATGTACTTAGACTCTTGTTTCTCTTTAGTAGAGGCATCATACCAATTTAACACATCTAACACTGCTTGAGGATTCTTCTTCTGTTCTGACTTGGTAATGTTGGAATTCTGTAATAATCTTGCCCAAGACTCTGGCATTCCCTACAGAGTTAAAAAAAAAATCTGTTTTTACAAGGTATAGTCTTTCACAATCATACAAGGAATTAAAAAATTGAATTTTTCTATGTGATATCTCAGAAAAAAAAACAAAGTATGGGGGGGGGGTGTATTTTATGTTCTGGCCTGTTAATATATATAATAGTTTTTCTAATTTGTGTACATATGCTGTACTGCTAAGATGCATTCCGATTCAAGACATGTTGAATGCATAGCTCTACATATTGCATGACTTCTCTATTAACGCCGTTCATCACGACTTTATACTAGTCAATTCCTATTTGAATACATTCTATCATTTCACTTTTAATACACAAACATATATACAATAAACATATACTCACAGTAAACTCCCCTGTAATTGCATCAAATCCCACATGGATAGTATGTTCAAAGTTTGTGGGTGGAGAAATGACAGGTTTGTCTGCATCCTTCTTTTTTGTACCTAGAAAAATAAACAGTCTAAAACAACAACTCAAAACCTAGCTTTAGCTTGAAAAACACAACAACAACAAAAAACAAAAATAATCTCAATATACTCATAAAATTGACATAAGAATTTAGGGTAGGCAGGTCATTTTTTACCTCCATACGAGGATGATGTTTTTGTAAACATCGACACAATAATCTTTACGAAACTAGAGCACTATTCCCAGTATAAACTTCTGCACGTTATGTGTTTAAGTAGAGAAAAATATTGATAATAATAATAAAATAATCAAGACACATATATAAGAATTCATTTTCAATCTCAACATACATACATATAGAACTAAAACACGAATAATAAATATATTAACCATAAAATATTAATGGTATAAAGAAATATTTCGTATTATATAGTACATGTATTCCTCGATTTATGAACATTCAGCCTACGTTTATTCGCTATAACATAATTAACTTTTATGGGCATGTATTTTGATTTGCAATCACATTTTTTGCTATAATAAAAATTTGTTATAAAAGTTGTAAGAAAATTTTACCCTCTGAAGATCGCCAGTAATCACCATAGCCTCTCCCTTCTCATCGACAAGCAAAGCAACAACTACTTCTTGACAAATACAGTACACTACATTTTGTATTTCATTAATAAAAATGTCTTTTTATTTCAGATTTTTGTTTGTGTTTATTTTAACAGTATTTTTCTTAGATTATAGTCAAAGAAAAAGTTACATTAGTGTGGCCAAAAATTTTGGGTCAGGATTGCATCCACTATATTTTACCTTTAAAATAATGGGAAAAGCATTTTTGATTTATGTTTTTTGATGTACATTATGTTCTCAAAGAACATATTCCTTTCAGAAATCAAGGGATACCTGTACAGTAATATCTATTTTAAAGTTTAGCTTTTGAGATTTCAGTTACAGAATCATCATATATCATAAAATAGCTACTGAATTACGAACCAGCTTATAAAAACTTGTTGAGAGATACAAGTATATGTACAAAAACAGTAAAATGTTTATGGTTTGTATAAACAGCAACAATTAACAAGTTATACCAGTTGGTTAACTTGAGAAGTTTTAATGCCACACACCACCCTGTAAACTTAGAGCATTTTTGTAAAGAAATGGAAAAATTGAGCTCAGGTGGAACTTGAACCCACAGTTACAAGACTCATAAGTTTGGGTTCCATTTTCAGTTTTTCATTTCTTCAGAAAAACACTTGATCAACTAATATTACACTATTAAAAGGTTTGTGACTTTTGAATACAGGTTTATTGAAGCTGGAAAATGTTTCCAAGTTTTCAAAATCATGCAGCTTCGTGTAATTTTTCAAAGTTACAACATAATTGATTTTACATCTCATATATTTGTGCTGATTTTAAATCACTATAAAAGCTGGGCAATTAGTTGTATTTCCTAATCCATTAATCAACAGCCCCATTAACTGATTAGTACAGCATTCTTGAAGTAAAAAAGTTGGCAGCAGATTCTGCCAGCCAGTTTCCTTCTGTTTGGTAGCAAAGGAAAACATACTTGGGACCCTTGAATCATGACCCCCTCCTCTCTACCCCAATCACCGAAGCTGAATAAACTTAAAGTTAAAAAAATATAAGGTTAAAATAGGGCAGAGCACAGATCGCCCCATTATGAAACTTTGTGATTAACAACAAACATAAGAGCAATATTTCAATTACCCAGCTTGTTGGAATAATCAAAAACTTTAATTTAAATTAACTGATTATTTTCCTGACAATCAATTTAATAATAATTTTCAATTAACTGACTGTTGGTATAATTAAAAATAGTAGTAATCAGAAACACTAATTTTGATTGATTGATTTTTTGTGACAATCTATTTGATTGGAATTTTAATTCAACCATAGTTTGAATAATCACAATCAGAAACACTAGTTTTGATTAGTTTATATGACACTAATTAATGTAACTGCTGCTCATAGGTTGTTGATCGTATTGATTACATCACGAAGCTCTCATCCCTACTTTTGGGTAGTTTTATTTATTCACTAAACTAAATATCAGCAGATATTACATCAAATTTATCCAAACTGCTACAGTCACTTTGACCAACCTTGTAACAATCAATTTCCATATTACAACTGTTAATATGTTTTGTGTATCTCCACAAAACTTGGCAAGGTTTCAGTAAAGATGGAGTCAAAGTACTGATTACTCTGAGTGCAAAGTGCTTTTCATGCTAACATTGAAAATACTTTTCTTCATACGAAAAGTTTCAAATATCATTTGCATAACCTTTAAAATCTCCTAAATAAATATCAAACTTTTTTTCAGTAGAACCTTATAATTTATCTGTTATTTTCTCAACCTCAAGACTTGTTCAATTTGACTAACTTTGTAACCACTATAAAAATTAGAAAATAAATCTTAATTACCTTTTTTCTTTCTTTCTAGAATGATTGCAGGTTGTCACAGGAAATTACAATTGTTTATTCTAAATAACTTAAAGCTTGTAATAGTTTACATCTGTTTATAACTAATTTTATTGTTTTATTACCCCTTGAACCATGTGTAATTAATAATCCTACTACACAAGTTGTAAATTACTCAGCGAAAACATAGCTCATGTTTCAGTATTGAACGACATAATGCATGAGCTACTTGTGAGCATACCTCTTGAAGAATTTCTATTATTTTTCATCATCTTATCTAACAAGTTCCTAATTTTTACATTTTAGTTACTTTTATAATAATAAATAAAGAATAAACATGAAAAACAAAAAATATAGTACTCACCTTTAAGCTCATTTTGTTGCTATTAGTTACCAAAAAAAGTTAAACCTACTTTTTTTTTATACTAATGGTACTAGTACTCTAAACTTTTATTTACTTAAATAATACAGAATAATAACATGCACAAAGCCAACAGTGTCCTATAACTATCATAATTTAACTGGCTTTCTAATTGTATCATAACAATCTTAAAATAAGAAACTTTCAAACTGAAAATGAAACAGACAATACTTTGTACTGGTTTGGTTTGAATTTCACACAAAGCTACTCGTGAGCTATCTGTGCTATCTGTCCATAATTTAAAAGTGATAAACTGGAGGAAGGACAGCTAGTCAACACCACCCACTGCCAATTCTTTGGCTAGGCTACTCTTTTACCAATGAATAATGCAATTTACTGTTATCTTATAGCACCCCCACAGCTGAAAGGGTGATCATGTTTGGTTGCAGGAATTCTACTTCTCAGCTCTGTACAGAAAACAATGTAGTACAATATATCATTTTATAGATTAAAGCTTTGCCTTTCTATCGGTTAATAATAATATAGTATAAAACATCAGAGAGAATTATTGGCAATTTGTGAAACAGAGGATGTGACAAGTAGACATGACAAGTGGGTCTGATTTTCTAGTTTATGGCTCTCTATAAAAAAACAGGATTGAGGGCTATAAAAATTAGAATTTGCTTTAATAATGTATATACTGAGTAATATATGTTAAATGTCATACTTCAGAGAGGGGGTGGTAAATAAATTAGAGAAGAAAGAAGCCTTAGAGAACAAATGTCACAATTCTCATACTACGAGAGATTAAGGATTTTTTTAAATATTCTCCTTCAAAAATTAAGAACATAAAACTTATATAATATTAAAATTTGATTTATCAATTGGTTTATTCATATCCATTGATAATAACAGTACTGTAACCATCTCTCCACAGGCATCTTTTTTGCGCATGTAACAAGGTTTTAGTGAGTTACATTTAAAATTTAATTAAACCACTTTCATTTTTTGGTGTATCAATATATATATTGCATAAAAGGGTAACTAATAATCAAAATTTCAATAGTATATAAGTTTTAAGTTCTTACTTTTATAAGGCAATATTTAAAAAAAATCTAGAATTCCCCTAGCATGAGAATTGTGACACATGTTCTCTAGCAATCCCCTCTTCTCCGATTTATTTACCAATATTTATTTATATTGCCATTGTTGAAAAAAGCATAATTTTCTTAGATTTCGATTTATTTGGTTACAGAGCCCTGAAATAGACAATCAAGTCCCTCTTGCCACATCCTCTTTTTCAGAAATTATTTATATTATTTATAACCAAAAGAAAGCCAAGGTTTTAATCTGTCAAATAACATATTATACTATGCTGTTTTCTGTAAAGAGTATTGTCAATTTTGCTTTCAGCACAAGCTTAATTTTCACAGGAAATACATCAATGAGCTCAGATGAAGTTTTAATGGCTGTTTTGCATAGTTATAAAGCCAGAAAAACTGTGATAGTTTTGGGACATTGTCTGCTTTTTGCACGTTATTATTGTGTGTTCTTTGGTGCATTATTTAATTAAATAAAAAAGTATTCAGTGCAGAAC